CAGAATTATTAAACAGAAATATAATTAATTGGTATAATTTAGTTTTTCCATATTTTACTATTCGGTATCAATTATACAAATATATTAAAATTCAAATTTTGAATCTAATCTTCAGTATTGGATAAATTAATCAAGCATTAATAAACTTCTATATGATATCTATAATAGTAATATTTGGAAAACTTTTAAAGATAAAAACTCAGAATTATTTTTTATCAAAAAGACAGTTGATTTATATTTGGAATTGATACTAAATATTGACTGGTTTCAATCATTTAATAATAAAGTGCATAATACTGGAGTTATATATACAGTTATTGCAAATTTGTTATATGAAATATGATTTAAACATAAAAATATATTGATTTATGGCATATTATCAGGTCTTAGTAAATCCAATTTATGTCAAATAAACTATTACTTTTCTCCAATTGTTAACTAATTAATATAACTATGATAAGAAATAAAACTTAATTCAACTATTGAAAAAAAAGAGGAAAAAATAATTCAGACATTCTTAATTTTAATTTCATGTAATATTCTTGTAACACAAAAAGTGTGTAGATATATTTTAGTACTTGTGTTATATTATTATTGCAAGAAGAATATCAATTATAAAAATAATTATTATAATTTTGGTGACATGAAATATATAAATAAATAGTTTATACAAAGAGATTTGATAATACTTAAATAAGATTTTATCGAATGGAAGTGCTATAACTCAAATATAGCATGAAAATATTTTATTAGTGAAAATTATGTCCGATAGTCTGAATTCTTTTGCCTACCTTATTTTGATTCAATTCAGTATTTAGTTATCGATTCTCTATATTGTCTTTTCTTAAATATTGATAAATGACTTATTAAATAAATATGAATTGAAGAGGAAATATTGACAAATAATGCATTGAATAAAATACAATCAATAATAGAAAATTTTCAAGTAATATTAGATATTGATCAAATTCTGAGAAAAATAAATAATAGCGAAAGATTTTTGAACTTTACTATCAATCAGTAGAGAAATTTTTTTATAATATATGCAACTATTGTTCTATAAAAACATCTTTCAGATATGAATCTTTAAATTCTAATGAATTTTATCAAGATTTGTCAAATTTTAGTATACTATATTGTATAACTTTTAATATCTTTCAGTAGTTATATCTAATTAAAAAAATTTTATAGATGATTATCTTCTATTACTCAAAAAATCAAATTTCTCAGCAATCTTTTTACCTTGTAATAATAGAAAGATAGAATCAGTAATAGAAATTCTTGTCAATTATTACATCATTATATCATATTTGAGAAAATACATTTTTAATTCTAGAAAAGAATGGTGTTTTATAATTTTTTACTTTTTGATTTTACAGCTTGACTAAAAAAATAAGAAAATAATTTTTTTGTCTGACCAGAATAATAAGAAGTTGAAGGTCTTGACTTGAATAAATAATCACTTTTTCACTACTTAAGAATTTAATGCATGTCATAATAATTCTATAATTTCTTTATTTTGATTACATTTTATTTAAAGGAGTAGAGAAGTCTATTTTAATGATTTTTTTTTTTATCAATAATGTTATCGAGATACATAATATAATCAATAAAAATTGGTTATATTTTGCTACGAATATATTTTATGTTAATTAATCATCTTAAGCAAAATTTTTATATATTATCAAGGAATTGATAAAAAGTGTTTATCATTTATTTTTTTAATTTTATAAGTAATTTATTTATAATTAAAAAAATAAATTTAATTAAACTTTTTCAATAAAAATTTTTAAAATTGTTTCTAATATAAAGTTTTTTTTTATTATATCATAAAAATTTATTTGTTTTATATAAACTCTTTTTATCAATTATTTATTTATATATAAAAAAATATTTATAAAATTTTGCCAATTTTTTAATCAATAAAATTTTATTATATTATTAAAATAATTTAAATGTATTTTCAGAATTATTTATATATATTTCTTTTTATTTATAAATTTTTTATTTTTAGTAATTAAAAAAAGTTAAGTAATGTTTTTATTATCAATAATAAAAAAGTTTTTAAGAAAAAATCAATTATAAAGTACTTTTATTTATAAAATAAGTATTTATGGAAATTTTTTATATTAAAAAAACCTATTTTTTTTATCAATTGTCTTGGTTTTCTTAAAACTTATGTTTTTGTAATTTTTTATGGGATTTTATTATTTCAATTTAATTTTAAATTTTTGAATAATATTATTTATTAAAATAATTATTTACTATTTAAGAATAATCAAGTTTTTCAAATAGTTTGGAACTAGAAAATATTTTAATTAAAAAGATCTCTTTTAAGAAAAGATTGTTAAATTAATTAAAAATATTAGAAAAGCTTTTAATTATACTCTTTTTTTCTACCTTTTTTAGTATATTAATTTAATAATTTATTATTTTTTAGAATAATCCGCAATAAAAAAATTCTTGATAATGATTTTAAAAAATAAAAATTATTAGTATTGATCTATCAAAAAGATAAAATATTGTTTTTTAAATTGAAGCATTTGATTTATACTTTATTTTGATTAATTAAACTAGCTTAGTAAACTTCTTATATTTTTTAGTAATATAGTCCTTTAATCAATAATACTTAATGACAAGTTAGCTATCATGTGAATAGTCTATATAATATTGAAGATATTTGTGTAAAATCCTAATAAAACCTATCATGATTGTATCATTGTAAATTAACAAAAAAAAACTTATTTGTTTTATATTATTGAAATGAAATTGTTTTTTAAGAATTGTTCGTAATGAACAACGTTAGCTGAAAATGGTTCCAGTTACAGAAAGAATTATTACGGGATAACACCGGGAATACAATTATTGCACTTGGTAAATATACTTGAAGAATACTAATGTTTTCTGTCGATTAAATTTTTGTCGAAAATACTATCTCCTGCGTGAATACTTCAAGGATCATAGTGCTATTTCCTCTAAATTACATATACTAGTGGAATATATACCCATCGTAAAATAAAAATTTACAATAACTGATAAGAAATCTATCGTAAATATGTACATTAGAAAAGTCTATTCAAACAACTTCTATAACCATATCATATACGTATTTATATGGTGGAATGTTTTGAGTTCTCGGCGTAAACGACGGAAATTGCAATCAAAATCACGGTTATTACCGACATCGAAACAACGATCACTTTCCAGTTATTTATAATCAGTTCGTGGAATCCGGTAGCTCTCTTCTTTGGAACCTCCATTTCGGAAATAAGCCTTTTCAATTCATTCATATTTTTCTCAATATCTTTCTTACCCTCGTCACTTCTTCCAAAAATATCCAAATCAGGTGCCACCACCCAACGATTATTAATCAATTTGAGGATTGATCTAAGTTCTTCGTTAAACATGTCTTCCATCTTTTCCTTATTAATGGTAACGTCCTTACGTCGCTTTGTGAATACGATGATTAGTCGGTCAGTGCCGAGAATTCTTATAACTTCTTCGATGTGTGTTTTGTCAGCCGCCGTTAGGCGCGTACCAGCTAGTTCAATTATTTAAGGGAATTAAGATCTGCGGTTCAGAGTTATTGTTTGAAATGCCAGTAAGCTTAGAGGGAAAGGTTCTAACCGTAGACTAAAATGTATGCCTGGACGCCACATTTTTTCTTAGCTTTTTCAATGGCATTAAGAATCTCAGACCAACTCCTTCGTGTGTGAGTTTCTGTCACGATTATACCAGGAGTGTCTACCAATGTGAATTTGTTGTTGTTTATTTCAATTTCGGCAGTTCTGATATCCATCGGTCTATGCACCTGAGCGTATCAATTATTTTAAAGTGAGATAACGAATGGATACTTGTAGTGATAATTAAAAGAAAAAAGAAAAAATTCGCGAATAGATCACATTTTCCTCATAACTCCCATCATAAACCTCAAATTTTTTCGCCTCGGGATTAATAGTGTATCCACCTAGTAGCATATTTCCCAACATACTTTTTCCGGCACCTAAAATTGCAATAATTGTTGAAAAACTTTATAAAAAATGTTTGCAAGGAAAAAACATTACCCTGAAGCCCGATTAACAAAACCGCCGGATGATTGATGCTTTCACGACTTGTGATGGAGTCATTCTTTTGCTCAATTTCTATTTCAACGTTTTCTTCGGTTGCTCCCGTCATTTCAGTGACGAATAACGGGTTGATTCTCTGTATTCACTTCTTCGTTGAGAAAATTTCCTGTTTGATTGAGAGGATGAAACAACAGATCATTAAGATATTTAAATAGAAAATAAGTTTGCGTATAAGCCTATTGCACCTATAACATTATTTTCTATTGTGCGACATAAAAGCCTTTGTACCTCTCATGCCACGTGCTAAGTTTAAGCTATCATTGTGCGATTATGATATCACTTGGAATCCTTAATCAAGTTAAATTACATCCTTAAAAATAATAAGCATGCACAGCATAGTAATGCGAAGAAATGATAGAGCACAGCATTGGAAATCATTCATTCATAAAAAAACGTAAATAGAGTACTATAGTTAAAATTCCATTATATAGCCTTGAAATTCGGTTATGGCAAGATTGATTTACTATACTAAATCCATTGTATCGGGAACAATAGTGCCAAATTTCTTTTTTGCGAGTTTAATCAGATTCCAGCAGACTTTGATCAATTCTATCAGATATTTATATTTGAATTCACCAACCAACAAAGTAATGCGTTAATCCTATAGCACCTCCGACGACTTAATGATCTAGTTTCGTAGCAAGAAATAGCGTTTAGACAGCCGCCTGACAGTTGCACAAAAAATCGGATGTTATTTGGGTAAATTTTCGATCAGGTGGTATTAAAACAATCTTCATACCTAAATTGATCATTTGTACGTAATTGTTTATCTTGCCCCACCGATCGGCAACAAAGTGTGATGATTTTGAGACTAATGTTTGAGGGTCCTCGGAGAAGACGATTAGAAAAAAAAAAAAAAAAAAAGCGAATAAATAAATATATAAATACATATTAATTGATATACATGCGTGAATAAATACGTCGAAATTCTTTTTTAGTTATTTTATTTATTTTTTTTTTAAAAGAGAAAAAAAGCAATAGAGAATTTTATATAACAAAAACATTAAGGATGCCCGCGACTGGAAACCAAAAAAGATCCATTGTCACACCACCGACTTCGTCCGCCAAGATCTCTTCTACCACGAAAAAAGCAAATCCCAAAGATGATGATACCCATCATATCGATGATTTAATCAAGACGCCGCCATCAGTTAAAATAATTCCGATCCTCACGTATATGTCCTACGTGAGCTTGACTATCAGGAACCTATTATCAACGTTGATATTCAATTGGTCGATGGCGTTCACTTATCCCCTGAATTTCTTCTTATTGATCACGTTGGTCCCGTTGTTATCCATTGCGTTGCTCGTAATAGAAATGACCCTTCAAATAGGATTTGCCCTTGGATTAGGAAAGGTTCTCGATGTAATTGGACACAAGTGGGGAGAAGACTTGACCCCTATTAATTGGTGTAGGTATTTTTCTTTATTATTGTTATTTTCTATTGAGCCTTAAATCATAATTACAATGATCGGGTTTTTGTTTTTATCACAGGGGATCCAAAAATGTTTTCGTCGGACACGATTGGAATAGTAAACGATGGAATTTCTGCCTTGGAACGACCACTACCAGAGGCTTCTACGAGCTTTCGAAACGTTGTATTTAATATTGACATAGCAGAGCTTTTGCTATTAATGTCCTCCATAATTTATGAAAGGAATGATAAGGTCGTGCACGATGTTTATAACATGATGACCGAAACGCATTCAACCGACAAGGATCTTAAACTGGCCGTATCTCGACTTGAAGAATCGGAATCTAGGATCCACATCCAAGCAAAGCTTTGGGGTCTGGAATTCATTTCGTTGACAGAGTTGAATTGCCTGGGTGGTCCTTTCTCAGGAATGTTTTGCAGCAAGGTAATAGAATAGTCGGTTTATTACTGTACAAACAAACATTTGACTTACAGTAAATCCCACTTTTATAGGAGCATAATTTTATAGTGGTGGTATTTAAGGGAACCACACCCACGGATTTTAGTGACTATGTGATAGATTTGATGTTACAACGTGTTGACGCCAGCAATTATGTATTTGGGGAGATACACGAAGGAATTTACACGAATCTCTTCTCACAGGCTAAAATCCAAGGAGTAAAAATGAATCCCACAAGCCCTTATATTACCATAGTCGAGGCCATTAGAGCCAAGGCCGCTAGCATCGTAAAATATAGGGTGAAAAAGACACGGGTTAACGTTTGGATCACTGGTCATTCTCTCGGCGGTGCTTTGGCCTCTGTCTTCTTTGCAAGTGGGTATATTCATCTCAAGCATCAATTAAGTATGACGTTTAAGCGAACATTTTAACATCAATTTCACCCGTTCACAGGATGCCTAAAATCTCCTGAGGACTTGGGTCCCAATTGTATCTTGAGGGACGGTTACATGTTCGGCTGTCCGGCAATAGGGAATAGTAAATTCGCGTCTATGTTTTCGAGTTACTCAAATCAACCATTCGATCGGCCCAGTACACTCTGGAGAGTAGTAAACGACACGGACATTATAGCTCACTTATCTGGATTTGAGGATATCACCGTAAGTCAGGCACTCAATAAATATAGCCTTCTTGATTATACTCACGTGGGCGAAGAGATTAGATTCTTCAGAAGTGGCGCAAAACCCAAAAGCACTAAAGATGTGTTTCGCTCAACCAGTAGACGAATTCTTGTCACAAATGATAAGTCTTATTTGTCTACGACCATGGAAGCGTTGCTGCCTCGTGGCAACCCCTTAGACGGTGAGCTATTTAGGCAATCTTCGGATTATGTAAAAGGTATGTGGAAGAAAGCATGCAATAATCCACTCGAATATGTGGCGATGCTTATACCCGCCTTTTATGGAAACCACATACCCGCGGAATACTTTAAGGTAATGCAAAAGGCTCGAAAATACTTTGATGCACACTCCATTGGTTAGAATGACGCATGACTAAAACACGTGATTACACTGCCACGTTTATTGCTATTTTTGTTTTCCGTGTCAATGCTTGCGACATATTGTATCTCGAACGAAATGTTTTTATTGAAGGATTTTTTTTTTCAAGGAAAACTATTTTTATAATCTGCATCAAACCAAACAATACGACATATTAGAATTCAATTATATATGCACATACAATATATATTTATTTAAATATCAAACAATGATTTTATATTTATTTGATCAAGACAATGTTTAAAAAATATGCATTTATAATGATTTACTGTATATTTGTTTCTATATTTATTATTCAACAACCAATACTCATAAATTATAATAATAAATATTAACACGGCAATTGTCAAGATCAAGAAACACTTATTTAATAACTTCAGTTTTATAAAAACTTTATTATATTTCACATGCATTCTTTAATATTAATTGAATTATATTTATGTTATCATTTTTGCAAATTTGTTATAGCTCATAATTTTCTTTTTCATTTTTTTAACTAACTCATGATCTTATAATTACATATTATAAATGTTTAAATTTTATTGTTATTTGAATTTAATATAGTTATAAAATTTTTAAAAAATTGTATATTCAATTGATAATGCGAATATAATAAAATTATTTTAAAAAAATTTTATAAAGAAAAATAATTTGATAATAAATTTTAACAATTTTTGAAAATAAATATAGTTTATATGAAAATTCATTACTATGATATTATAATCTTTTAAAATTTTATTTTTTAGATATATAATATAAAATAATAATAATAATTAAATTATAAAATTAGTTATTATTATTTAATTAATATATTAAATTTTATAAAAAATGTATTATTTAAAATTAAAAACCATATCTATATTATATAAAAAAACTAATATAATATTTTTTTCTGTCTTATTTAATAATTATTTTATATTATTTTTTTATTGATTTGACTAATCAAATTAAAAGAAATCTTGAAATTTTTAATTATTTCTCTTTTATAAATAGTATTAATTGATTATAATCTTGTATCATTCCTTTTTTTATATTATATAGTAACTATTGATTTATTTATATCATTAATCTAACAATTATTTATTTTTAATAAATATTATATAAGTAATAATAAGTAACAATATTATAAATAGTTTTCTTTAATTAGTCTTACTAATAAATATAAAAATAAAAAATAAAATAAAATAAATATATTAACACTTAAAAAATAATTGAAATCAAATTATTTTTACTAATTAGACAATTTATTGTTTATTTTAAAATATATTAAAATATTAATATAAAATTAAATAAATGACCAATTTTATTTTAAAAAATTTTTACTTAAAAAAATTCTAAATAGTAGATTCTATATATAATAAATATTATATATATATATCTTTTTAAATAGAAAAAAAATATTTAAAAATAAATA